AATATCGCTCTGGCCACGTTACAGAGAGAGATGACGTTGATGGCTCCCCCTCCTGAAGGCAGCGCTGGCCTGCCAGGTGGCAGCCTCTGCTCTGCCTGGGTTGCTTTGTGCTGTTGTTCCCTGCCTTTGGTGGTGGCAAACAGATCATCTGCCTCTTCCAGAGATTCTGCTGTAGCAAGGAAGGCTGGTTACTACAGGTGTAGGTAAACACACTTCCATACCTGCTCCCCTTTCCCTGTGTTATAAGTGTCGGTATTTACCTTTAGAAGGGTTTTGAGATAAAAGATGCCACAAATAACTCTACAGACGCCATCTCTACAATGTGGTTTCCTTCTTTAAAGCAACCCTGTCATGGTTGAATAAGACTTTGGTGGGAGGACCTGTTTAAACAGAAGTAGCCAGAAAAGTGCTGTGCTCATCTTGCAAAAGGCGGTTGCTGAAAAACTTGTGTGACTGTGCTTGCTCCCGCAGTCTTGGAAGTAAGAGTAAGCGAGTAGCATGCTGGGCTGGAGTCTCCATCCTTGGAGATACTCAAAAGCCATCTGGACACAGTGCTGAGCAATGTGCTCTAGGTGACCCTGTTTGACCAGGGGGGTTGGACAAAATGATCTCCAGAGGTCCCTTCCAACTTCGACCGTTCTGAGATTGGGTGGTTTGCAGGTTCCTGTGGCATGCTGGAGGAGTGCCGCCTCCCAGCTGAGGCAGGGGAGGATTCACAGCAAAGGCACTGGGTGCTCCCGGGCTGGGGCAATGGGTGCGGGCTGTCTCTTGCTGGTGCCTTGCCAGTTCTGTCTGCAAGGAGCCTCATAAACCGGCTCCTGCATCTCCCTTGCGCTGCGCTGCATCTGTGAGTGCCTGGCCCTGGCTGCTAGGCAAGTAGCCGGCGGCCCCCGCGGCCACAGGGGAGGCAGCCAGAGGGCACTTACCAGCTCTGTGCACCCTCCCAGCCCCAACGGTGCCGGGGGGGAGGACAGGCTCTGAGGGCGCTCTGCCCTCTCTGGATCAGGCTGTGTCACCGGCTTGCTTGCACCTCAAGAGCTGGCTTATACCTGCTGGAGCTGTCTGAAGTAGGTGTTTAAATAGGTTATTACTTCAAGCAACAGCCATCGTCCTTCCTGATGCTTTACCAGTCTGCCGTATCCTAATTTAAGTTGTCTAATACAGCACATGTATCACACTGCGTCTCAAAATGCTTTATTATGCAGATGCCAGTCACAGTTTTCATCGTTAAAGTTGAATTTCATTTTGATTCCCCCCTTACTTTTAAAAGAGGGAAATCAAATTCTTTGTTATAGATGAAGAATACAGCAGATACTCCCCCAAATTACAGCATATGCTCCTAGGGCACAATGAATTTCCTGATAAATTTAACGGTAGATCTGTTCATTCTTTCCAGTTAACATTAATTTAAAGATGTGTCCTTGTAAAGACAAGTCACCTTGTGTCAGAGTGTAATTTTTTTTGCCTTCAGTGGTACCTCTGAATCAAAATTTCCCATGTATAAAACTTGCTCTAGTGGTGTACACAGACTACTTCTGGAAATGTTTGGGTGCTTTGTTTTCTCTGCTGCTGTTGTGATAAATGTTTTTCGCTTCCTTCTTTTGAAGGCGATTTGGAGAGTTTCTGGGAGAACTGTCCTCTTAGATAGTGGGGACCATTTTCAGTCTTCTGTAGGATGGTAGTTACAAGCCATTGCTTGTGACAAAACAAAATTTTAGGTGAAAAATCTTGATGTATACTGAAGAGTTCAGAGAGCAATGAAAGATATTTTGACGATGCACACCCCAGGAGTTTCTTATCATTGCTAATGCTGTACACCCTTTTAACTCAGAAGCAGCCCTCCTGCTGGAGAGGGAGTAAACTAAGGGGGAAATGGAGGAGAAAAAATCAGGGAAATTGAAGGACAAAGGGTAAATGTGTATGCACGCAGGAATGTTGCTGGCAGGAAGCAGCAGTTGGAGGGTGCGCATTGTCTAGGCTGCGGTGGTCTGTGATGCAAAGCAGATACAAGCCTTGTCGTCCTAATCAGCATGTCCTACTGGGAGAGGGGACTGTGGGGGGAACTGGGAAAGCTGCTCTTAAGAGCATATCCAAAAGCCCTTCTTGGAACTGTGTTATTTGCATGTAGTGAGAAGCGCTGCCTGCCCTAGCTGATACTAATTTCTTGCGTGCTGTTCACGTATGAAACTTGAAAAATGTTCCTAGACTAATTCCCAGGCAAAAAACTGTGCTTATGAAGTTAAGGCTGAATGTTCATGGAAGAAAATCGGTTTATAATTTTATCCTCAAAATAAATAAAACAAACATAGGCCTTGGTTCTGAGTCATATAAGATTAAGAAGTGCCAATAGGATATAGTGTTTAGATGTTCCCAGCTGCGTTCCTGTGACTGCTTCATGCTCCCTCCCCATGTTTTTCCAGTCCTCCTATACTTAAAAATCAACTTGACCTTAACCAAGACCGCAAGGACTATTATGCCATAAATGCTGGTTGATGTCATGTGAACTGATAGGTTTGCAATCATTGCAAATGCCCCATTGGCCAAAGCAGCTGTGATGGCTCTCGTGGTGTTGAGATGGAAGGTGGATAGGAGCCTTCTTTGCTTGCCCTGGAATTGCAAGACATCTGCTTTACTTGTTTGTGGCTTCCTGTTTGGCATCTCTTGGGCAGGAGGGAGCCAGCAGAGGCTGAAGGAGGGAATTTGAGTCACTTGGGAGTTCTTTGCCAGAAAACGTCTGACTCAGCCCAACTGTGGAGAAATGAATGTGGGATTCAGCTGCCTCTTAGGGTGGGAACCTGTGAGTGAGCATGCAAGTGTTTACTTGCGCTGCATGTCTGTGGCCTCTCACAGGGTGGGGATGGTGAGCAAGGGGAGGGAGGGGCAGGGGCTTCTCTGCATCTTCTACTAAATGTCTCCTGGGATTGCATCAGGGCTTAGGTAGTGGGTGGGGGAAGCCTTTATTGCGTGTAATGCTTTGGAAATGGTATTTTGGCAAACAGCCAGGTGACCTACTTGGTAATGTAAAGGCAAAGCACGGCTCACTTGCCAGAAACGCTGGGGCTGGAGTGGGGTTGCACCACTCGCTTTGCAAGTGGCTGCAAACGAGCACGATAAAGTTGTTCTGCTGCCTGCCATTGTTCTCGGTGTTTGGTCTTTGCAGGCCGAGAGCTTGGTCATTTAGGAGTTAAGTTCCCTGCTTCTTTTATGAAGTTACTGTATAGCCTTGTTCCAGAAGTCATGACTTTTATGAAACTTAATTACTTCCCGCAAGCTTACATGGCAAAGGTGCAGCTAGTGAGCTGATGCGTGCTGCTGGTATCGAAATTGGAAAGATCCTATTTCCCCTTTCAGCCTGGAGCCCTGGTGGAAGCGGTGGCTTCCTTTGGACCTGACAGGTACCTCCGGAGCTGTAGCTGACAAGTTCCTACTTGTGCTTGAGGCTGAGTCGTAGCTCTTCCTGCGTGTGACCTGGCAGGAAGGATTGGGCAGATAACACATCTGAGTTAAACCCCTGAGTCTGGGGGGTGCCTAAAAGGCAATATTACCTGCTGTCCCTGTGTCTTGCCTCATCTTGTTGAGCTGGGTGAGGGCAAGAGCTGGAGCTACTCCACTCTGACCCACTGGGCTAGAAAAGAGAGGCAGATGATGTCTGTCCTGGCTGTCTCTTCCTGTACTACAGCTTAACCTGAACTTTGGAGTCCTTGCCAAGGGCATCAGGGTGTGTGTGTGGGCTTGGGCTCCATCTCCTGTGCCTGCCTTCTTGGAGCCTGCTGTGTAAATCTGGAGCTCGTGCAGTGAGAGGCCTGAAGCCTGGACTGCTTGGGTTCTGGTTTCAGCTCCTTGGCTTCTTGCTAAGACTTGTATGAGAGCCACGGAGCAGGTTGGTCTTGTATGTTTGATCTTGTTTCCTTGGTGCCTGTGCAGCTGCCTCTGGGGAGAAGAGGACCTAGTGGCTCTGTTCCCCAAGAGCTGAGTGTGATTAGTGTTGGAACAGGGTCACGCAGGGACTGGTAGTGTCTGAGAGAAGAGGAGGAGAGCTGTAGATGTACGTCCTATCGAGGCACGCACTCTTCAGTCTTCACAGTGCCTAAATTACATCAGGGACCTGCAGCAGAGATAGCTTTGCAGTAATAGTCGTTCCCACGCTCTCTTCTATGAAGAATGCATTATGTTGCTTACATCAAAGTAGATACTCTGCTGCTTCCCTCCTTGTTGCCCCAGTCCTCTACTTCACAATGAAAAAATACCAGAGTATTACTTTACAATAATGAAATCTGAATGTTAATTATCAGCATACTGCCTTCCTTCCCTTCCCTTAGTAATGCCCTGCCTTCCAGCCCCAAATAGCTTTCATCCCTCCTTGCTCTTCTCCATCCGGTCCTCCCACGCTCCTGGGCATACCATCGAGCTGTGGCAACTGCTGTGTTGGTAAAAGTTCTCCTGCTAGATACCCATGGAATTCCTGCCCTTAAATGGAAGGGGAAAGAAAGTAACTGGGGCGTGGACGGGATCCCTCCCCGCTCTTTGGTTGTCAGGACTTCTCCCTGTGCCAAGTCATCTCCTGTCGCTGCAGGAGGCTCATGACCTAGGTGTCAAGCGTGGCAGCTTGGGCAGAGCTGTGCTGTTCCCAAAGAGCCCGGGCTGCAACAGGCTGTTTTAGTGAGGAGAGCAATAGGAAGATGCAATTCCCTTACAGGCCGGTGCTGCTTGCTAGCTCGTGTTATTTCCAGCTGTGGGCCTGGGGAAGGGTAATCGCCTTCGTAGCAGCAGGAAGGCTGGCAAGCGGGAATGAACCGAGGGAGCCCCTTTTTCCTGTTGATCAGCAGCCTGCACTGACCCCTTGCGCATCCAGGGGTGGTGAAGGAAGAGGAGAACTTTCTTCTTGTATCAAAAAACATTTTGTGGAAGGAAAACAGCAGGGTTTCCGCCTGAGACAAATCGCGTAGCGTAGAAAGCGGGGTTCGGCACGAGGTGAAATGCGTGGGTGTTGCGCGAGCCGTGCGGTTGTTGCCCGCGTAGTTCTCTTGCCGTGTTTGAATGCATAGACAACTAACATCTTGCCCTCTCTCCTCTCCTTCCAGATTCATGACTGGGAAAGGGCTGGTCATCTACCCGGAGATTGGGGATAAACTGGACATTATCTGCCCCAAGGCGGAGCCGTCCAAGCCTTACGAATATTACAAGCTGTACCTGGTGAAGAAGGACCAGGCAGATGCCTGCAGCACTGTCATGGATCCCAACGTGCTGGTGACTTGCAACCGGCCCGAGCAGGAGATTCGCTTCACTATCAAGTTTCAGGAGTTCAGCCCCAACTACATGGGCCTGGAATTCAAAAGACAGCAAGATTACTTCATTACATGTGAGTCGCCCTCTTCCTCGCCGCCCAGCTGGCAGTCCCCGGGGTCTGGAAGATGGGGCGTTGTGCGGGCTTCGCTGGGCGCAGGCGCGCAGCTGACACGTATGGAAAATATTTCCCTGCTGGATGGGAGAGGGGAGAAGGGGGAGGGTGGCTGGTGCGAGGGGAAGAATGTGCCGCTGGCCGAGTGGATTGCTAGCCCTTATCTAGCCAGCGTACCGTGCTCCTGGCTGTCCCTGCCCCGCTGCCCCCGACCCTGTCCTCACTCAGCTATAGGAGCGGGGAATGCTTTCTCCAGTTCAGATTAGACCGGCCCTGCAGGAGGAATGGATTTCTCCATATCCGAAGCTTTTTCACTGTGTTGGAGCTTATATTTGATACCGGCTTCTGCGTTTAGAGGTTATATGGGGCCTTTCTTCTAGGACTTACCCTGGAACTGGGAAGATCTTGATGTAACAGTAGGAACCTGGCATAACAGTGACAAATTGGGTGACTGAGCACTGGACCAGGTTGCCCCGAGAGGTTGTGGAGTTTCCTTCCCTGGAGGTATTCAAAACCCACCTGGACACGATCCTGGCCAATGTGCTCTAGAGGACCCTGCTTGAGCAGGGTGGTTGGACTAGATGATCTCCAGAGGTCCCTTCCAACCCCAACCCATCTGTGATCCTGTGAAATTAACTGCTCGGTGCTGCTTCGAGGCAGCCGCGAAGGCAAAGCGTGCTGCCCCTGTGGAGCAAGCCTTGCAGTTGAAAGCAGCTATCGTTGCTGGGAGAAATACCCCCGCCCGTGAGCCTGTCGAGGTCTAGGCGGCTATACAATCCTGCGTGCTGGCCTGTACCTGCTGTGTTTCTCTTTATAGCTTCGCTTTGTCGAAGGGAGAGGGGAGGGATGGCTGCGTTTTCTCGGAGCGTGCGGCCCTTGCGTGCGGGAGACCAGCC